GTTTTTCTGTGGAGCTTTTAGGGTTCTCTATGTATATTATCATATTGTCTGCAAATAGTGATAGTTTTACTTCTTCTTTCCCTATATGGAGTCTTTGTATGTCTTTCTCTTGTCTTATTGCTCTGGCTAGGACCTCCAGTATTATATATATATATATTTTGTATTTTTTATTTATTTATTTATTTTATTTTTTTAATAATAAATTTTATTTTTATATTCCCCATACAATTGCAACCCCCCCCATTCTGACCCCAATCCCTCCCCTCCCGCCCCCCACCCCCCCAAAAGTGTCTCTAGTTCATAGTTTTTTGTTGATTTTGATTTTCACTTTCTTATAGTTATTCATTTTCCTGGTCCCTTATTTAAGTTTTCTAGATTCCTGCTATGAGTGAGACCATCCGGATTTTTCTTTTTCTTTCTACCACCAGTATTATATTGAAGAACAGTGGTGAGAGAGGATATCCTTGTCTTGTTCCTGATCTTAAAAGAAAGGCCTTCAGCTTTTCACCATTGAGAATAATATTGGCTGTGGGTTTGTCATATATGGCTTTTATCATGTTAAGGTATGTTCTTTCTATCCCGAGAATTTCAAGTGCCTTCATCATAAATGGATGTTGGACTTTGTCGAATGCTTTCTCAGCATCTATTGATATGATCATATAGTATTTATTTTTCTTTTTGTTGATATGTTGGATTGCACTGATCAATATTCATATGTTGAACCATCCTTGTGCCCCTGGGATGAATCCCACTTGATCGTGGTGTATTGTCCTTTTAATGTATTGTTGGATTCTGTTGGCAAGGATTTTGTTGAGGATTTTTGCATCAGTGTTCATTAGGGAGATTGGCCTGGAATTTTCCTTTTTTGTGCTGTCTTTGTTTGGTTTTGGTATTAGTATAATATTGGCTTCATAGAACATATTTGGTAGTATTCCTTCTTTTTCAATTTTTGAAAGAGTTTGTGTAGGATAGGCACTAATTCACTGCTGAATGTTTGGTAGAATTCATTTGTGAAGCCGTCTGGCCCTGGGCTTTTGTTTGTGGGGAGTGCTTTGATTACTGCTTCAATTTCGCTGCTTGTAATTGGTCTGTTCAGGTGCTCTATTTCTTCTTTATCCAGCTTTGGATGATTATATCGTTTATCCCAGAACACTTTGATAATTTCAGTATGCCAGGACCCTCTTTGAGACTTGCAATGGGTACTAAATGGATAGATATGCTTAATGACTATTTTTTGACTTGCAGAAGAAACAGTGTAGTGAATGACTTCTCCCTCAAATTTATTGTATATGGTCTTGAATGCTACAAAATTTCTGGTCTAGATTATTGAAGAATTTGTAGCAGTAGGATTCCTATTTTGACAGCAGGTGGCAGCCTTGCACATATAGAGGTCAAGTGGCTCTGTGGACTGCGTAGGAATCATTTAAGCCATCTTAGTCGTCACTGTAATTAATGCTGAATTTGGAAGTGATGCTTTGTGTTGCTTTTTGTATGAAAGATGACATTAATAACAGGAGGGAATTTCTTCCTACCTAAGAGCTATGCTTACCCCTGAGGATGACAATGTGATTATTTTTCTTTTGGGGAATGAAAGTCAGACTTTTGGCAGTGTATGTTCCCATTAATTTTCTCGTAGAAATTGCCACTTGGCTTTAATAGGACCTCACTCATACATCCTTTAAACATTGCAAATGCGGACGTGTAAACTTTCTAACACTAAAGGACAATTTTAGTAATAGCACTGATGACCTAGCAAAGACCTTTTCATTTTAACTTTCCTTGACATTTAGACTCCGAAGTCAGTTTCATCTTACTCGCTATCAGAGGTAGTAGTTCTTTCTTTTAAACAAGTGGTAAACTCAGCTCTTGTTTTCTCAGCTTGACCCATTATCCATTTCTTAACATCAGCTTGAATTATGCTGGAGTCCTCTGTTTGGGTATTATTAGAGAAAGTCCATAATTGTAGCACATCTGGGCCATTGCAAATTAAAATTAATAGAATTACAAAGCTGGAGGCTACTTAGGGCTCTTCTGTTTCAAATTCTATTTTCCATAAATATGAGGAAACGTCATTTTAGAAAACCATGAAGAGTTACCTGGTCTGTCTTTTACATATTTGCCTCTGTAAGCCAGTCTTCCACTCCCTTTCCTTCACACATCTGTCTGATTTACTGCATTGGCCACATCTAGAATACAGGATAGACTGGGGCAGCAACATACAGGAAAGAGCTAATGCCAGTCTTTGGTGCTACTACTATGCTATATTCTTCAGCCATCCTGACCATTGTGATAATTTTGAAGTTTGTTTCAATGAGAAGATGGAAAATATGGGTACCGAGATTTGTTACACAGATATCTCCTTGTTATTACCTTCTCATTTGTCTCAGCTGTCCTTAACCTTTATTGAATCAGAAACCCTTTAAGGATATGATGAAACTATGACCCCTTTCCTCCCCTGCCCCCCGCCAAAATGCCATGTACACAAGAGTTTAACTACATTGTCAAGTTCACACAACCTTTGAAGTCCCTCTATACATGTTGATTGAAAATCACGGAGACCAAAAAGAACAGAGGTATCACACGCCCAGACTTCAACTTATACTGTACTATATAGTTATAGAAATGAAAACAGTATGGCACTGGAATAAAAATAGACTCACAGATTAATGAAACATAATTGAGAACCTAGAAATAAACTCACACTTAATAAACCCTTTGCTGGTTCCTCAGCAAAGGAACCAAGAGTATACAATGGAAAAGGGAAAGTCTCTTTAACAAATGGTGCTGGGAAAATTGGGCAGCCACATGCAAAAGAATGAAACTAGACCATTATCTCACTCCATACATGAAAATTCACTCAAACTGGGTTAAAGACTTGCATAAAAGACCTGAAACCATAAAGTACATAGAAGAAAGCATAAGCAAAACACTCTAAGATACTGCTAAATTAACTCACACACTTGTGTACATGAATATAATTGAGGTCATACTGTACATAAATTTTGGTTTTTTGTTTTTAAAAATGAAAGACAAGGTTTTTATTCACATTATTTCGAATGCCTGCCTAATAATTTCATTTTATCAACATTCCTTAAATGTCCTGTTTAGATTTGCAATGTTTTGCTGTTATAGATCTTGCTACTCTAAACATCTTTTGCACACGATCAATTCACATTCTAGAAAAATTTTCTAGAAGGGGAAAATAAAAATCCTTTTATTTTATAACTTGTGTATTCCTGATGTTCAATGTGGATTCATTTCTTAATAATCTGGAAATATCTTTAAGCAACAAATTTTCTTTTTTTTTAAATAATTTATTTATTTTAAATATTTATTTATTTATTTATTTATACAAGCATTGGGTACAGTCAGAAGTGCGGGAGGGTGAGAGAATTCACCAGAGCCAGAGCAGGGAGCAGAGTAGTCAGAAGGACCGAAGTACATTGCCGAGGGGAGCAGCAGGCGGCAGGAGAGGTCTGCGTGCCATGTGGGACCCTCCTCCGGTGGCTGGGGAGCAGCCGGGGATCGAACCAGCGCTGCAGAGGCTGCGGCCAGCTTCGCAACCCAGTGCTCAACCACTACGCCACCGGGGAGGCCCAGCAACAAATTTTCTGTGTAGTTGTTTGTAGTTTAAGAAAAATTACTGGTAGTAACCTGTTCAAAATAAAATGGTGTTGTTTGATGTTCTGATTCAAATAACAGTTTGATCCTATTTCATACTTTAAGGTCCATAGGTGGGTCTAAGAAGCACTTTGTTTTAATAGAACAATGTTCCAGACACTACAGACATGGATGTGTCCTAAGTCTTTATCGAACCTATGGTTTTCTCTTCTGGCATCTTGGGCCATCTTGTTACAGACTTCTTTTGGTAGTGGGCCATGAAATAAAATTGTGATCCCTTTTACTTTTTTTTTTTTTTTCAAAAGGAGGTAATGTTTATAAGAAATCCATTTCTCACCATACTACCCTCCTTTCCCCATCCTCTTGGAACTGGTTCTTTGCTCTCCCCAAACCCACTTTTAAAGTGCCTCAGTATAGGTCCACATAGTAGCAAGTCAATACACTAATTTTAAAAAATCTTGTGTTTTACACCCTTAACTACTGGAGGTGTAGTGAACCTGTCTTTTTTCTACTAACAGTTTGGGCCTTTCTGTATTTTGTTTGTTTTGGCTTTTTTTTAAAAGGGATTTATTCATTTATGCATACAAAAACTGGGGTGTAGGCCATAGTTGCAGAGTGTGAGAGGATTCACCAGAAACAGAGTGGGCAGCAAAATAGGCAGATCTGAAATACACTGCTGAGGGGAGCAGCGGGAAAGACAGGAGGTCTGCTGCGACATGTGGGTTAGCTCCCTGGCTGGGAAACGAACTCATGTCACAGTGGCTGGCCATAGTTTGATAACACTGAGTCTTAATCCGTGGGCCGCTAGGGAGGCCTGTTTTGAGTTCAAAACAGTCTCTCCCGGGCCTCCCTGGTGGCACAAGTGGTTAAGACACAACCTATGAAGCGCTTCACAGCCACTGCAGCACGAGTTCGATTCCCGGCCAGGGAGCTACCCACATGGCGCGGCAGACCTCTCCTGCCTTGCCTGCTGCTCCCCTCAGCAGTGTATTTCAGTCAGTCTGCCTGTTCTGTTTCCCACTCTGTCTCTGGTGAATCCTCTCACCCCCCGCACCTCTGGCCTGTACCCCAGCTCTTGTATGCATAAAAATAAAATAAATATTTAAAAAAACACCACCAAAAACCAGCCTCTCCCAAGCTTCAGGGAAAGACTCCGGGTTGGGTTCAGCCACGCCCTCTGGCCCTGCCCCGCCCAAGCCCTGGCCGCACCCCTTCCGCGCGGAGCGTTCCGTTTCTATGGTTACTCCCCGCCGCAGAGCGCGGCCAACGGCCGGCGGCCCGGGAGAAGACCCCGCGCCTGGCGTCCGGCAGGGTCACCCCTCTGGGTGCGCTGCCCCCTGGAGTGGAGGCCGCGAGCAGGAAGCCGAAGGCAGAGGCCTGGCCGGAGGAGCTTCGGCCCTTCACGGTCGCCCAGGACTGCTCTGCAGCGCCCGGCAGCGCCGAGCAGCGGTCGCTTTGGGCCGCGGCAGCCGCGCCCCAGGTCACTCCAAGGGGCGGCGCGGAGCGGGAGCGGGTGCGGGAGCGGGTGCAGGAGAGGGTGCGGGAGCAGGTGCTCTCCCTGCGCTGGGCGCTGCTGCCACGCAGGATAGCGAGGACTTGGGACTCCCACGCTCTGCAGAAGGGCGGGGGAGGGCACAGGGTCAATAGGACCCCCCCACGGTGCCCGACAGTACCTCATTCTGTACAGGCGGAGCTCCAGGCCCTCGGTTTCTAAATACTCAGGAAGATCAGGCATGTGGATTCCCATTAAAACCTGGCTTGCAGTAGTTGGAATTAACCCTCAGGAGTTCATTTTCCCCTCTGCATGCATAGTTCTCATAACATGTTTTGACTATTGTATTTTTTTTTTTTTTAAATTTTTTTTTTTTTTTTTTTATAGAGGCATGTTTTTATTTATTTATTTGTTTGTTTGTTCGTTCGTTTTGTTTATACATGCACTGGGTACAGTCAGAAGCGCGGGAGGGTGAGAGAATTCACCAGAGCCAGAGCGGGGAGCAGAGCAGGCAGAAGGACCAAAGTACACTGCTGAGGGGAGCAGCGGGCGGCAGGAGAGGTCTGCGCGCCATGTGGGACCCTCCTCCTGTGGCCGGGGAGCAGCCGGGGATCGAACCGGCGCCGCAGAGGTCGCTGGCAGCTTTGCAACCCAGCGCTCAACCGCTGCGCCACCGGGGAGGCCCCGACTATTGTATTTTTTTTTTTAAAGATTTATTTATGCATAAAAGAACTGGGGTTCAGGCCAGAGGTGTCGGGGGTGAGAGGATTCACCAGAGACAGAGTGGGGAACTGAACAGGCAGACTGACTGAAATACACTGCTGAGGGGAGCAGCGGGCAAGGCAGGAGAGGTCTGCCGCGCCATGTGGGTAGCTCCCTGGCCAGGGGGCTATCGAACTCGTGCTGCAGAGGCAGAGGATTGCTTGATAGTGTGGTGCTTAACCCCGTACACCATCAGGGAGGCCCCATTTACTTGTATGTTTGTAAGGAAGAGTCTAAACTCCAACTTGGATGTGCAGGAAAGAGAATTGATCTGAGTAGAATTGTTTCCCGAGATTGTCTTGTAATTATGAGAGGTTCTTTCATCAATGGGGTAAAATCGGCATTTCCTCTTTCAATTTGTACTCTTCTGCCTACACAGGAGAGGGTGGGGGTCTCATTAGTTCTGCTACCCCCCCCCCCCATATTGTGTGGTTTATCTTTAAAATCATCATAAAATGTACGTTAGCTATCACCACCGTTTAAGTAAAAGGGGGAAATGTTTCAGCCATTTGACGTTCCAGTTGCTCTGTGTTATCCACAAAGTTCTTCAGTTTTATAAATATGAAGCTAATAAAAAACAGGAGGGACCTAGACAATAACAAATATTAGTAAGTTAATAATGTTATAGGGCAGCCCCGATATTGACCGGGTTGCCTGGCTGTGGGTCCTCACCTACGCGCTTAAAAGGGACTTATTAATACTCCACTGCAGGCATACACAAAAGGTTAATAAAAGGTTTATTTACAAGGGAAAAGGAAATAAGGAAAATGTACAACTCAGGGAGAAAATAGGGAAATAAAGTCTTTAATGCATCCTACCCGATCTGATGACCTGGAAACCCAAAAAGCACTCTCTGAGCTGGGCAGATGGTGCGAGCTGGCGGAGAGTCAAATTGGGGGACCCCTCCAAAGCCCACGTGTCTGCCTTTATACCAACCTGGCTGCTTAACCCCACCCTCAGGTCCCAGCCACCTTCCCTTTGGCGGTGATGGGATTTGGATTTCCCAGTGTCTTTGTCTTTGGCCTGGGGTGGGGATGGAGTCCACAAAGCCTGTATGGAATTAGCTTTAGGACATCCTTTTCCCCCCTAACAATACCATAACTATAAATATAATAGTGGAGAAATCTAAAGAAAAAAGTAATATATAAATGCAATTTTAAAAAACCTCAATTGTTTTATTTAGGCAGAATGCCTCCTACCCAGGCAGAAAGTGTTATAAAGAATATCATTCGAGAAATAGGACAAGAATGTGCAGCTCATGGAGAAATTGTTTCTGAAACTCTAGTTGCTTTTATGGTAAGAATGAATTTTTTTGTGAATTACTGCTTTATTAAAAGTGTCTTATTAATAAAACCATTTTTCTCTCAAAATTCTGTAGAGCTTGTCAAGATGTTATTCAGTTGAAAACATTGAGATCATGGACAAGTTAGTGAAAAATATTTTTTAAAAGCCTATAGAGTTTGTCCGTGTTAGATTTATAGATACTGATTTTATATTTATAGATACTGATTTAGAGTATGAGCTTTAGAGATATTAAATAATGTCCTGAGTAGGAATAGTTTTAATATATATTTTTGTTTGCTGTTGTAAAAATTACTCAATACTTTAATTCCTTTGTTTTTGCTTTTTGTTAACAATGCACAATAAAAATTTGATAAAATATACAAATAGTTCCCCAATCTAAAATGTATCCATTGCTTTTCAGTCTGTTTCTCCATATAAATTTTCTTATGAATTTGATGTTTATTGCTTTCTGTTTTCAACTTCTAATGAAAGTGCTAATGAGTTGGGTAGTAAGAAAAATAGCTGAAGGATAAACTCCTGAGTGGTTGTTTAAAAATGGAAATATAGTAAGCTAATTTCATGACATGAAATAAAATTATGTAATAGACCGCTTCCTATTCTCAGGTGAAAGCTGTTGTCCTGGATCCAAGTAATGGCTTTAACATGGATAGAACCCTCACGAAAAGTGATGTGCAGAAACTTGTTAAGGTGATTATTCAACACATTTTGAATTATTTATTTTCAGTTCTAAATACAGTATTCCTGTTAGTCTTCAGTTTCTTGAAACCAAAATCCATCAAACAATGCAAACAAGAAGGGATTTATGTTTTCTCTTAAAACAAAATCTGGAGGTACTTAGGCTGTGTTCTTCTGGCTTCTTGGGGTCACCATTGTTTGTTTATGGCTTGCATTCCTTGGTGTTAAGACAGCTACTCCACCTCTGGGTAGGTATAAAGGGGGAAGACAAAGGGTATCCTGTGTGTGCTGATTGAGTCTGTCAATTTCTAACTGGAAAATAATAGCTTTCCCAGGATCCATCCCATTCAATTACACTTACCAGAATGATACTGTAAATGAACAAGGAACAGGATTTTTATTTTTCAACTGAACAAATCTTTGCTCCAATACAAATTTGTATTCTGTTAGTAAGGAAGGAGGGGCAGGGGCAAAGATTCTGGGCAAATACCAACGTCTACTTCAGTATTTATAGGCATTTTGTCCTAATCTAATGTAATAATAAGAACATTATTGACTTGCCATATGCTGTAAAAGCACATAGTACTAAATTAAGGTTCATGTAATTGTCATATAATTGTCATATAAGATTTATGAAGTTATTGATTCAGTGTGATTTGTGTTTTTTAATTCGAAAAGAAAAATTGAAACCAAAGCAAAATAATCCAGTTCTGTTAGAAATCAAGAAGATGTGTTTGAGAACCAGTTTTAAAAACTAAGGAAGGCAGGAACTTTAGATATTTTGACTCGTTGGATTAAAGTGCTTAAATATATTTTTCTGAAATATTTTTTTCTGAAGTATTTCCATATGTATATCCTTAAACATTGCTTTTCCTCATGAAATTTTTACCACATTCAGACAGCATAAAGTAAACAATAGATCAAGTTTTTGCCATCAGCTAGTCTGTTAGTTACCTGGGTATGGTGATATTGATGAACTCAGGGGAAATCATTTATTACTTTATAATATCAATTGGGTACACTACAAAGCATGACGTCCTCAAAGAGAAATATAATAATAAAGGAGTTTTTAGTGTATAAATATCAGAAAACTACAACTTTGATGTTTCCCTTTATTTTTAAAAATAACTTTAGAAAATACTTCTAAGTGTTTCAGAAAATATGAATGGAAGTACTCATGGGGTATTCTCTTCTAGCTTTGTGTGACTCGACTATTGGATAATAAAAATCCATCCCTGGACACCATTAAGATGCAAGTCTACTTTGATATGAATTATACAAGTCGAGGTAACATATCTACCTATTTTGGTACTCTTTTTAAAAAGATTCATATTGTATTTCAGGTAAGGAGTGCTTCATTTGGTTGACATTGAAAATTTAATTTTTTTTGGTGTATCTTTTGAAACTGTTACAGGGCAGGGAGAGGGGCACCCCAGACCCCGCAAACCTGCCTGCTCTAAATAGGTTCTGCCATCGGCTGCATCAACACAAAACATATGAGACTTTAATGAAAAGGAACTTTAATACAATTAGGAAACAATAGAGGAAAGGCAAAGAATACAGTTTCTAAATCAAGCACCCAAAGTTACCCGTCCCCTCGTGGGTAAAAGTCCACCCAAGCAGGAGGGAGAGCCAGAAGGAGATCTAGAGGAGGCACATGGAACTGAGAGACACATGAAGAAACTGAGCTTGCCTTTTGGGCGTGGACTGGTTGACCGGATGTGGGTGAGACTCGTGGGGAGGTGACAGTAGCGGTTTTTGTTTTGATTTTGATTTTGCTCTTATCCTCCCGGACTTCTCTGGGTCCCCACTGGAAGATGCTTTAGACTTGTGGCAGGCTTTGGGGCCATGCTCTGGGCCAATCCTGTTTGGGTAGACTTTAGCTATTTAGAGCAGGCAGGTTTGCGGGGTCTGAGGTGCCCCTCCCCCTGCCCTGTAACATAATTTTTTCACACATTGAAGAATCTGATAATGTTGGAAATGATAAATGAGAAAAACACTAATGGCCTAGTGAGTATTAAAAGTAAATTCTAATTATTGTGCCCATAATCATCATGTCTCCAAGGCTCTTGTTTTTAATAAGTGTATCACTAACCCATCATAGTTAGAAATTAAAACATCCAGCCATATAAGTTAAAAGTTCTTAATTAGCTGATTTTTGTGTTCCTGGTTTATATTAGCTTATATTGCTTACTTAAATTATGTAACTACCTAAAAATAAAATAAAAAATAGGAAATTTACATTTAGAATATTTTTCCTTATTTAATACTTAAATGCATACATCAAAGTCAACCTGGAATTGAGAAAAAGGAAAATAAATTCCTCAGTAGACTGCCTCTGCCCTGTAGTAATGCTTTCATTACTAACCACTTGGTGACTTTCATTGTCTTTGGACCCTCTATTTGTTGAGCTTTCAGTTTTGTTAAACATGTAAAATCATTTATCTTTCCTTATTGCTAATAAATAATGAAACTTCAAAGCAATAAATAGTTATGAAATTATAATTTAGTTTTTTTAATTTCAAAAGGTTCTAGTTGTTTTGTGCCATAAACTGTACATGGTTGATATACGGTCCTTGTGAGAGTAAAATGGGGCGTCTAAATTTAGTTGGATGAATTGTACTCCTAGTGGCTCCTACGACGACTAAGTCTAGACCTCAGTATATCACAGCTTCCAGAGGGGAGGGATAGAATTCTTAAGGCAACATCATAGTCTTAGTAATACTATATTCAAAGGAATTTATCTAGAACTAAAATATAAATATGCATAATTGAACAGGAACATTTCTGCTACATATGTGTATATTTATATGTGCTTACATGTAGTATACTGCATGTGCTTATATATCAGTAAAATATATACTTAGTATATTTATATATTGATGTGTGTGAATAGTCTCCTATACCTTTTGCTTAATTGAGAGCTTTTAGCCCTTTCTGATATTTACTGTTTGGCTCATCTAAAGTTTCACATGCTTTGACAAAGTATACTGTTTAAATCACGGTAATATTTTCCACTAGATTTTGGTCTGAAGGTTACTTGCTGGCTATAGTTTACTTTTAGTTTTGATTACTACTTCATATGAAAATACTTGTCATACCCAAGCCATTTTTCCTCCTTTCCTTCTTTCTTATGTGAGAAAAATTCCAAGTGTCAAATATATGAAAACATTTTTCTTTGCTAATTTTAGAAGAATTTCTGCAAGAACATCACCGGGTTCTGGAGTCTAGATTATGCCCTGTTAGCAGAGAAATTACAGATAACAGAGCAACTGCTAGAGAAGAATTGGAAAGCCTTTACCGAAAGATTGTCAGCTACGTGTTACTGCACTCTGGCCTTGGATCCCCTACAGATATCAGGATTGTTAGAGAGGCAACAGGTGAAAAATACACACCATTTCCACTCCATAAATGATTGCATGTGAATATCGTATCTCATAAATGATGTTAAATTACATGTGTTAAAGATTGACGTTTCCTTTTTATCTGAAAAAAGAATCAGCACAAGTAAGAGGTTAAAACTTAGCTAAACTCCCATTACACTGTATTAATTCTAAAACTCAAGTAGTACCTCTGGAAGGTGAATGTTTTTAGTTTTCTTGGAACTGCATATTTAGGGAAGCATTAGGGAAGCATTAAGGAAGCATTGGCAATATGATTAAGGATACCAGGCTGATTGGGTAACGAGGGCAAGAGGTAAGGAAGATTTTATATTGATTAAGGGAGTTGAGTGTGTCATCTAAAATAGATGGAGGAAAAGGGCGCTATTTAATTGTCCATTTTCACCCATTTTTATCCTTTGTAATAAGGAATTGGTAAGACTTTTGACTTCCATAATTATTTCAAAACATTAGTTTTTCTATAGAGCCCTAATTAGAGCCTAATGCAAAGCTTTTTCAATGCCCATTTCCAAAAAATTAATGATGGGTGCTTAAATATGCAGTAGTATTATATACAATAGCCCATATGATAAATGATCAATTTTGCTATGTATATACACCAAAATCAAGTATCAGAAATTTAGAGATATGAATAAACATCTCTAAAAACAAGTCTCTCTCTCTTTTTAAAAAAGATTTATTTGTTTATGATACAAGAGCCAGGGTGCAGGCCAGAGATGCAGGGGGGTGAGAGGGTTCACCAGTGGGGAGCAGAACAGGCAGATTGACTGAAATACACTGCACAGGGGAGCAGTGGGCAAGACAGGAGAGGTCTGCTGCGCCATGTGGGTAGCTCCATGGCTGGGGATCAAACTCCTGTTGCAGTGGCTGCGGACAGCCTCATAGTGCTGCGTCTTAACCCCTTGTGCCACCAAAACAAACCTCTTAACTTTCTGTTAAAAGAGTAATTTAAATTCTAGTATCTGTATTCTAACATTTTGTTGTCCCTTGTGTTTAGCTGCCCTACAGAGTGTTTTTCCTCAGGCTGAGCTTGGGACATTTCTAACTCTTTCAAAAAAGGACAAAGAACGACAGCTGAAAGAACTAAGCATGATAGTTACTGGAATTCGTTTATTTAACCGAGACTGTGGAAAGGGAGGAGAAGGCATTGATGACTGTAGGTATATCAACAGATTAATTCTATCATTTATTTGGGTTTAATATCTAACTTGCAAGGAAAATAATACATAATATTCACTTGCATCCTTTTATTGTTTTGAAGTTTTGTTTTAGGAATAACTACTTTTTGTAATGTATATAGTACTTTTTAATTTTGCTGGAACAAGATTTAAATTTGAAAGTTTAATGCCATGGAGCTAATATAGAAGAGTAAATCAGTGAAAGGAACGAGGAGCCCTGTCCCGAGCTTCTCCCCAGTTCAGTGGGGCTTTGTGTTCTTTAGTAAAAGTCAGTAAAAGGAAATCAAACTCAGTGATTTAAAAAAAATAAGTATCACCCTGGAAAGAAGAGTTGCTGATGATGTTAATATAATAAAAAGGTCCAAGAGGAGGTATCTGCAAATTTGTAAATTTAGGAGCCGTTTCTATGCTTTTATGTACTTGATACGTTCATTATTGATAAGCTTGAAAGAACTCATGAAATATTTGATCAGCAACTACCAGCAGAAGTAATTCCTTATGAACTTGGCACGCACGTAGGCCCATTGACAAAGCATAAGGGTTGTTTTTTTTTTTAACAGATTACTGATCTAGTACAAGAGAACAGTTTTTTACATTTTCAAATTTGTTATAAGAAGTTAAATTCTTATTCTTCATAAAGATCCCCATCTTGCTGGATTATACTGTTATTTTTTCAATATCCCAAGTTTATTTTTTTAAAGATTTATTTATTTTTGCATAGAAGAACTGGGGTGTAGGTCAGAGATGCAGGGGGTGAGAGGATTCACCAGACACAGAATGGGGAGCAGTACAGGTGGATCTACTGAAATACACTGCTGAGGAGAGCAGCGGGCAAGACAGGAGAAGTCTGCTGCGCCATGTGAGTAGCTCACTGGCCCGGGGATTGACTCATGCAGCAGTGACTGGCGATAGCTTGATAGCTGAGACTTTAATCCCTGAGCCTCCAGGGAGGCCATTTCTTAAGTCGTATACTTTTTTTTTTCTTTTTTTACAAGTAGAAAGGAAGATATACAGGAGGAGAGAGATAGTAATTTTTCTACAGGTACATAGTATAACACATCATTTCAAAGCCTACTTATTCTTTAAGCTCTTTTATATGTTAGTGGCAAAAGCTAATCTCCTCAAACTTTGCTTATCTTTCTGAAGTATCTTTTGTTTGGACTGGTTTTTGTTGTTATTGTTCTTCATGGTATGGAACCCATGAAATATATCCCCTTTATTGTTAAATTGTTAATTTGGTTGAGAACAAAGCTTATTCAACTTGATGTTCAAAATATGACCACTTTCTAGGCTTTTTCTTCTTAATTCTTTTTAAATTCCTCTTATCTCACTTAATATACCTTTAAAAACAGTGCCTGCTATTCTACGCGAAGCAATTCCAGCCACCACTCGCCATATTGATTCCCAGCTTCAGATTGCCCAGGACCAGGCGTACCGCTACACAGCCATCCTGGAGAAAGTAGCCGAGAACCCACTGCTGAGTGAAGAATTTCAGTCCTCTATGTTAAAAGAAGCACTGTATAATGTGCGGCAATATGAGATCTTCCTTCAGATCATTTTGGTGAGTTAATGTCCTAGGATCTGGCCTTTTCCATAGAATATAGTGTTTATATTATGGAGACTTTCTGGCCTTCTCTTCATTTTTCTTTCTATCTTCATAACTTAGCAATATTTTTGGAAGTGCTTGATCTGTCTTCTCTCAATCCCTCTACTCTAAACTGAGAAGAGAACGGTAAACATCCAGATGACTTGACTTCATTACTACAAACTGGGAGTAGTCCTCAGGATTGACTTAGTATCTCTTTGACTTCAGTTTGATCAGGACTTTATTTGCTGTAGTGAACAAATTTGAATTTTCTGGAAAAGAAAAAAGAAGGGCTGATCTCAGTCTTATTAACTGTCTTAGCTGAGAGAATGGAATTCCATCCTCTGTGGGCTTTTGAAGTGCAAGGCAGTTGCCAAAGAGGGGAAGCTGTTTATTATTATTGTGCAAGTACAAGTTGTATTTCACAAATATCATTTCTTAAGACATGTACATCAAGACTTTTGTAGACTTCTTCCTCCCAAATTATACTTTCAGGGATTCATTCATAGACTAGACGTCATAGACTTCTTGATTTTTCCTGACAATGTAGGTTAAAAAAATCAGGGTAGAATTTTTGCTTGATTTAGACTTGTTTAAAAGTGCCCATGAAAGAGTATATGAGGAACTTATTAAAAAAGGTGGAGTGAGTGGGAAGAGAAGGAAGCTGTGATCACATTTTCTCTAACATTTGACTGTCATGAAAAACACATTTTTTTACAATTGTAACATTTCTAGAGAGCTGTTTACAATGAAAATGCTACATGATTGTGAACAATTTTTTTTTTTGGCAAAATACAAACAGAGTGATTGTTCTAAGACATTGGGAGAAATCAAGAAGTTCTATAGGCCTATTCTGAGAATGGACCCTGCAAATCTAGTATGGGTGGAGAGGAGGTCAAATTTAATCAAACTTTTTAAGAAGCATTACATGTTGTGTATAATTTTCACTTCAGAGGCCACCATTTGCAGATTTATTTCATTTTCTTGTAACTATTGCATAAATCTAAAATACTTAAAGTGCAACATTTCCATCTTTGATTCCTAAAACAAAATTAATGTACAGAGGGGGGGAAATACTGTGGGATAGGCAAGAGACCTAATAAATTGGATACATAATATTCTTTTTTTTTTAAAGATTTATTTATACAAGCACCTGGGTACAGGCCAGATGCACTGGAGGGTGATAGGATTCACCAGAGACAGAGCGGGGAACAGAACAGGCAGACTGATGAAATACACTGCTGAGGGGAGCAGTGGGTGCAACAGGAGAGGTCTGCTGCACCGTGTGGGACCCTTGCTGGCCAGCCAGGATCAAACTGGTGCTGCAGAGGCCGCGGAAAGCTTCACAGGGTGGCACTCAACTGCCTGCGCCACCAGGGGAGGCGCAGGATACATAATATTCTAACGGAAATAAAGCAGAAGGAGAAGAAATCCTCAAAGCGTAATATGGGTAAAATGAAAACTGGATGCATGTTGCATTTGTGAATTTAAATTTTCATTAGATGAAATATGGTAGTATTTTATAATTTTTATGAATTATTTTTATCATTAAAAAAGGTCTTATAAAATATAGTCTAGTCAAGCATATGGTTGGGATGCAGGTGTCTGAGAACTCAGAATACCCTTTTTTCTTTTTTTTTTTTTTTTTTTTTAAATAGAGGCATGTTTTATTTATTTATTTTATTTGTTTGTTTGTTTTGTTTATACAAGCACTGGGTACAGTCAGAAGTGCGGGAGGGTGAGAGAATTCACCAGAGCCAGAGCGGGGAGCAGAGCAGGCAGAAGGGCCGAAGTACACTGCTGAGGGGAGCAGCGGGCGGCAGGGGAGGTCTGCGCGCCATGTGGGATCCTCCTCCGGTGGCTGGGGAGCAGCCGGGAATCGAACCAGTGCTGCAGAGGCTGCAGGCAGCTTTGCAACCCACCACTCAACCGCTGCGCCACCGGGGAGGCCCAGAATACCCTTTTTTTTCATTTCAAATAAATGTCACTCTTTAAAAAAAATAAAAAAATAAATGTCACTCTTTTACACTGTACCAATAAACCCTCACCTCAGCTATTTCTGGCACATCTCTGGCAGTGCAGTAAAAGTGGGTAAGAACTGGGTTCTGGACTCAGACTCTGGTATAGAACCCTGATTATGTGTTTTCCTAGTTGTAATTCTTGACCAATTTACTTTTATTTATCTTGGTTTTCTTATTTGCAGTTATACTTTTAAAATTTAATATAGTGCTTATCACATAATAAGAATAAATACTAGCAATTTTTCAAATTCATCTTTTCACTACCTTATTTCCAGATTTCATTGCTGTATTAGAAATAGATTGCATTGCTTTTAATGCTGTGATTTTAAAGATATCCCTCTCCTTGAATATAATTTTATTAAATGTTGCTATCAAAATAGTTTTCTGAGGAATTCATCTTTGAGGAATGGGGAAATAACAAGTAATCACAGCTGTGTCAGGATCTACTTCTCAGGAATGTAATCTGCTGAATATAAAAGACCATTTGTATACATTTGAAAGCTCTTGTGTTTTAAGAGCTTCATCTACTCAGTAAATATTTCTTGAGCACCATCTGTATACAAGTGCTCTGCTGATATTGGGAATGTCCCTGAGATGGGGTTTCTGTTCTCACTGAGCTTACCTTTAGAGATATGGAGAACATTCAGGGCTTAAAATACAGATGATTTTATAGTGAAATTATAAAAATCTGAATTTGAATGTTTTCTTCAGTCAGATATAATTACTTGTGCTCAAGAAGTGGAAATGATGGTAAAGCAGTTGGGAGCCCAACTGGAGCAATTAAAAATGACGGTTAAATCTAAGAGTGCTGTCCCAACATCACAAGTCTTTGTAAGTATTTACCATCAACTTTGACCTTCTTTAAGGGTGAATGTATTTTTGAATCTTATAAAACTAGATAAAAGTAATTATAGTTATATATTTACTAAAAATAAATATAAAGTAAATATAAATAAAAAGTAAAGTAAAATATAAAGTAACTACAGTTATAGTTACTAAAAATATAATACTGGTTTTATATAATTGGGCCTATTCTTTATGGTTGTTTTGTAGTAATAGTATAAGTTAGGTGAGAGGATTCCCTTCAAAGGCAATTGCTATTAAAGGAAATGTAGATATGTATTATAATTACCTTAATATAAATATTGGCTGTGGCAACAAAAATAATCCATAATACAGTGTTGAAAATGTGTCCAGAGTAGCTGGTTAGAAATTGCCACCTCTAATGAAGAGATGATAAAATTTGTGACCTTTCTGGAAAGGGAAATAACCATTTTGTTTACTAGACCTATACTTATACCAACTTTCTGATTGTATGCATTATCTTAGGGGCAGATCTGGTAACCCCAGGGAGGTGTAAGATGCACATGTGGTAATTTATACAGCATATAAAATGCTATATCTTTGATAGTTTTCTATAATCATTCCTAATATTTGGTTTTATTTATTTATTAAAGATTATATTTATTTTTGCATAGAAGAACTGGGATGTAGGCTGCAGGTGCTGGTGGTGAGAGGATTTACCAGAGACAGGGGAGTAGAGCAGGCAGATCTACTGAAATACACTGCTAAGGGGAGCAGCGGATGAGACAGGAGAGGTCTGCTGTGCCATATATAGGTTAGTTCGGGTATTGGACTTGGGCCGTAGTGGTGATAGTGCTGAGACTTAACCCCTGGGCCACCAGGGAGGCCCTGACAATATTTGATTTTAAAAAGCAAGAAACAAAACGTTAAGTATTTTCACTTATAGGTAAGATCTGGTTAATTTTTTAATTTGTTTCTTCTGTAAATCAGTGACTTTTAATATGAATAAAAAATTTTTATGTCACTGATCTAAAGTCTTTAATTTGCACCTCAATACAACACATGCCTTAAGATATATCTCTAGACTCTCCAGAATATTTGAATCATGATTTCTCCAGATAAACCTAATTATAATGAGTCATATTTAACTTTATATATCTCTAGAATCTCCAGAATATTTGAATCATGATTTCTCCAGATAAACCTAATTATAATGAGTCATATTTACCAAAAAAGAAGATAATTTCCCCTTGACTTTTTTTTAAAAAAAGATTTATTTATTTATACAAGAACTGGGGTATAGGTCAGAGGCATGGGAGGGTGAGAGAATTTACCAGAGACAGAGTAGGGAGCAGAACAGGCAGTCTGAGTGAAACACACTGCTGAGGGGAGCAGTGGGCGAGGCAGGAGAGGTCTGCTGTGCCATGTGGGTTTCTCCCTATCTGGCCGGGAATGGAACATGCACTGCAGAGGCTGCAGACAGCTTCACAGCGCTGCGCTCAACCCGCTGCGCCACCAGGGAGGCCCTCCCCTAGATTTTTTGAGGTAAAGTATCCATAAATCTTTCTTTTTTTTTTTTTTTTTTAAGATTTATTTATTTATTTATTTAAGCACTGGGTACAGTCAGAAGCACAGGAGGGTGAGAGAATTCACCAGAGCCAGAGCGGGGAGCAGAGCAGGCAGAAGGACCGAAGTACACTGCTGAGGGGAGCAGCGGGCGGCAGGAGAGGTCTGCGGGCCATGTGGGACCCTCCTCCGGTGGCTGGGGAGCAGCCGGGGATCGAGCCAGTGCTGCAGAGGCTGCGGGCAGCTTCACAACCCAGCGCTCAACCGCTGCGCCACCGGGGAGGCCCTAAGTATCCATAAATCTTTCTTAGTGGATCAAATGTGTTTGACTTTTTGGGAGTAAATTCACTTTGTGAAAGTCTTACCATTATAAAATACAAGTTTATTTTCTCATAATTCATTAATCCAATTTCTAGCTAGATTCTTGTGTCTGACCTCATGAGATTATCATCGTAAGAATTAATTTTTTTACAAGTAAAATTTGTATTTATTTTAAAAAGTACAATGATTTATATTTTTTTCAGCAGTGACATTTTAAATATTTTTTTTTCCTCAGCCCATCTTCATTGCACTTTCTAATCTGTGGACTGGTTTTCAGGACGAAACTGTTTTAATTAGTGTCCTCACTAATTTAACTACTCACCTTGCGCCCTTTCTGGGCTCTCATGAACTACTCTTTCCTGAGAAAGTATTGCAAGATCTTCTTGAAGGAGTAACTGTGAAAACTGATGTGTGTAGAATGAAAGAACACATGGGTAATGGGAATCAGCCATTATTTCCTTTGCCTCTTAAAATTACTTCCAAAATAAAGTCACTTTTTTGGTATTAACATTTAGTGTTATACCTTTCTGATAAAGTATTAAGCATTTTTCTTGATTATAAGAGTACTTATGTTCCATGTAGAAAATATGGGAAGACAGACATATGTAAGCTGAATCTCTTTCTATCCAGCAAAATCTAGTCCTAACATTACTATCAGTGTGTTGGTTAACAATGGTTTTCTGTGCATATGTATTTCTATTGTAGTCTTAGTGATTTTATTGTTGATATGGGGTAGAAAGGCTATTAATCCTTGCTCGTTTTTTGCAAATAAAGCTCCATTTGTTTGGATTGCTCTTTGCCACATATGTACCTCAGATTCAGGTTGAAATTGGTAAAACAGTAAATTTTATCCCTGTAAATTAATCAAACTTATTTTAGTGCCTTTTAGAGATGCACTGATTTTCATAGGAAGACTATCTTTATCAATATACTCCTTTTTACTTTTTTGGCTTCTTTTAATAGAAGACAGATTCTATTTTTATATATTTTATTGTATTGTCTATTGTTAAAGACAACTGGAAATTCAGAAAAGATGCCAAAATACAATCTGGGAGTTGAGTTTTTGCCTAGAACCGGAAGCTTTTGCAGAATATGAAATTAGATTATTTGCTCTCTAAATGTCCTTTTCAAATTCTATTTTTGTAAAAGTGGAAAATAAAAATGTAGCAGTAATTTCCACTCTTTTCATTGAATACATAAAATCTGGAATCTAAGTCAAAGATATTCAAGATGCTTACAGTTCAAAGTTTTTCCTACTGAATTCATTTTATTAAAACAGCCTATCTATGAAATACTAGATGAAGTTGAAAGTTAAAGTCACTTTGTTAGTGGACATTCAACTCATCCATTTTGGCAAGACTGTTTACTTGCAACTTCTTGGATTTAGATGTGTTATTTCCCACCATATTTCAAAACTTTTTAGCCACAGAATAGTAGAGGTTACTGCGCCAGTGAATTGGGAGGCCTAATGTTCTTCAGAAAGAATTTAATTTACGCTTGTCACATTGCATAGCTATTCAGGCTTCCAGATATATTAGGAAAAAAAAAACAAAAACAAAAACAAACAACAACCAGGGAGGTTCATTTCCCCCAAGGAATAGATGTACCTCTAGTTGTAGCCACAGAGTCATTTGTGGTGTTACAATAGCGCCAGGCACAGAAGTGTAGGTCAGATTGAGAAAGCTAAGAATTTTGGTGGAACAATGTTTTATAAATACAATTTTTTATTTGTGTAAAAAATTAGCCAATTTACTTATCAAAGTAAATAGGTAACAGTAGGAAGAATTTTTAAAAGTGCAAAGAATAAAAATTATTCATCTTGTTGTCACAACTAAGTTACTAAATTTCCTTGATTCTTCCTGCTCAGAACATTCTCCTCTGTTTCAAGAAATAATAGTTCCTAATATTATAGTTAAAGTATTTTGCCACCTAATATGTTATTAAGAGCTATCCTATCTTGAGTGAAGTTGATCTATAGCAAACTTTACTGCTCATATCATTAGGTCGTTTCCTCTTCTCACTGAATAATGTTTTCCCTGTCCTCTTTTTTCATTTTAGAGAATAGAGTACAACTGGTGGATTTCAGAAAACTAGAATGGCTTTTCCCTGAAACAACAGCAAATTTTGATAAGTTGTTAATTCAGTATCGGGGATTTTGTGCTTACACGTTTGCTACAACAGATGGTCTTCTCCTTCCAGGTATTCCTTAGGAATAATATTGTCCCTCCTTCCCTTCCTTAGTTAGTTTTTTTTTTTTTTTTGCAGAGCACCACCATTTTCAATTAATCACTCTTTAAAACTTTGTAGACTCTGATGGCAAACTAGGAAAGGAGCTAATCTCGTAGTCTGTCATAAACAAGATAATATTATATAAATGATAAGTAATGGTGTGTGTCTGTAGTGGATATGGATGCTATAGTATCATAACATTGGGGCTGACTAACATGCCCCGTGAGGGAGTCTAGACGTGCTACACAGTGTTACTAAAAGATATTATCTTCCAAATAGTTATTTGAAAGAACAACACTATATTGACTGATTTGTTTATTAAAAAATATTCTTTGTCTTTTTATGGTTACATTCCATTAACATAGATCAAGATGTCTATGTAAGACCCCTCTAAGAAAAAGGCCAGTATTTTGTCAAGTAACATTTCTCTATGATGTAGATATTACTAAAGCTTCTCCTAAACAAAAAGTAACTCAGAAATTATGATGAAGTAAATTATTATCCAAAAAAATGCTTGTGTTGGGAATAACAGGAAGTCAGCTAGGGCTAGATTCTTCCACCACTAGTCTCTTCCTCCCTTTATTTTTTTTAAAGATTTATTTATTTATGCATACAAGAGCTGGGGTATAGGCCAGAGATGTGGGGGGTGAGAGGATTCACCAGAGACAGAGTGGGGAGCAGAACAGGCAGACTGACTGAAATACACTGCTGAGGGGAGCAGTGGGCGAGACAGGAGAGGTCTGCTTTGCTATGTGGTTTCTCCCTGGCCAGCTGGGATCGAACTTGTGCTGCAGAGGCTGTAGATTGCTTCATAGTACAGTGCTTAACCCCTTGTGCCACCAGGGAGGGGCCCTCCCTTTATTTTTTAATGTTTCATAATTGGGTATGAACTTTCTTCATTACAAAGAATTGTTGGGGTTGTGTGTATGCAGGCTAACTAATGCACAAATTGATTTCATTTTTTATGGTATCAGATATTTTGGAATGGGAATAATTAAAGGGTTCATCATGGGGACTGAGAAAATAGTATTCTGAGGCCCTGTGATGGTCATTGATACTGGGGAGAAAGCAAACAAGAGCCAAGTGGAAGTGAAAAGAGATGGAATGTAGATTTTTTCCTTTCTTTTCCTTGTCTTTTATGTTTTTCTTTTCTTTCTTTCTTTTTATTTATTTATTTGTTTGTTTATTTATTTATTTATTTATTTATTTATTTATTTATTTATTTATTTATTTATACAAGCACTGGGTACAGTCAGAAGTGCGGGAGGGTGAGCGAATTCACCAGAGCCAGAGTGGGGAGCAGAGCAGGCAGACTGATGAAGTACACTGCTGAGGGGAGCAGCGGGTTCTGCAGGAGAGGTCTGCGCGCCATGTGGGACTCTCACCTGGTGGCCGGGGATCGAACCGGCACAGCAGAGGCTGCGGGCAGCTTCATAGCCCAGCGCTCAACCGCTGCACCACCAGGGGAGGCCCTGTTTTTCTTTTCTGTTCTTCCTCTTTTCTTTACAAATCAGAAGAGGTGCCAGGAGAGCCACACACAGAGAAAAATATGAAGCTGGTTAGTGGCAGAGGTCACTGACATGCTTGCAAAGTCTATGGGCTAGGATTATGGAGAACCTGGTTTCTAGTTCCAGTTATACCATTGTGAACTGTGGTTATCTTCAGCAAATGTCATGCCTTTGTGCACCTCAGTTTTTGCATCAGGAAAAATAGAAAGACCAAATAAGATGTCTGTTTATTCCCTTCCAAATTCTGCCAACTCTGATTCTAAGAAAGAGGAAGAGAGAGAGAAGTAGAAAGACTTTGCAACTATGGGTTTTTCAAAATCCTCTCTAATTTTGCTAGTCCTGATTACTTTATTTCCCTTTACTACATTATGTCTACTTACTACAATGTTTTTCTGGGCAGCAGCAACCTGCACTACATCAGAGCAATTCTGTAGGATTTCTTTCCTTCCAGTTGGGACCACAGACCTCATGGCTTAGAGCTCAAGGTGACACTGTGGCTTGCAGTCAGATCCTTTTTCAGATGGCTTCACTGATTTGATTGCTTACCATCTTTTCCTTTGCTCAGTACTTCAGCCCCACTGCCCTCCTTTCTATTCTTTAACATTCCAAGCCAATTTTTACCTCACAGCCTTTGTGCTAGCTATTTCCTTCTCTTGGGCAAGCTCTGTCCCCATATAGCTACATGTCATTCTCCTTCATTTTATTCAGCCTTCACTGATTGTCCAATTAAAAATATCAGCCTTCCCTTCCTTCCAGACATTAAACGTTAAAGCAAGTTCAAGGACATTTTGAAAAACCTGACAGATAACTAAAGATAACTTCTCATAAAAGATTTTTAAACATCTGACATCTGAATAGTGAAATATTTTTTTAAATAAAATTATCCTTCAAAATAAGAACATTTAACTTAATAGTCCTTTCACAAAGTAATTTCACATATAATTTAAAATTACTAGTTATAGCTTTGTAGCAAAATAAACACCTACGTAATAGATTAAAAATGGAGTGTATAGAGAAAAGTTCTGTGGGTATACTATGAATATAAAAATCACTTAATACTGCATGCCCAAATCACTTCCTTTTCCTAATTTTCAGGAAATCCAGCAATTGGAATTTTGAAATATAAAGAACAGTATTACACTTTCAATACGAGAGATGCTGCATATTTATTTGCAGAAAATCCTGAAAAGTATATTGATTTAGTTAGAGAAAAGGCGAAAAAAAATGCAGAATTGATTCAGTTACTGGAACTTCATCAACAGTTTGAAACTCTCATACCATATTCCCAGGTAAGCAGGGCTAGTATTTTAAAAATTTGTGATATTCAAAAGTATAATTCATTAAAAAATTTTATTTTGTTGTGGAATGGTTCTCAAGTCCAGGCAGAGAAGAGGTCAGATGAAGACTTTTATAGGTTATCTGAAAATAGCCATGAATAAAATCCACATAGGGTACTGAAAAAAAGATAATGAATCCCATGATGAATTAAGACTGGAAAAATCTGAAAGACAAAGACTGCATTTGGACAGATAAATTAATCGACAGTATTTCCTTATCTAAAATTGAAGGTCCTCAGCACAAATAACATAGGCAATAATTTACTTTATAGTGAATTGTACAATAACTTAACAGGTTTAAGTACACTAATCTGGAAGACTGCAAAATGGATTGGAAGGTATGTTTCTTTGTATACAGGTGCCTTTTTGTTAATTTATTCAGCAGATATTTACTGAGCCTCTTACTGTGTGCTAGGTACTATTCTTGGCACAGGGGATTTAGCAATGAACAAAAATCCTTACCTGGTGTGGAGCTCTCATTCTAATGCTGAATATTATCAGTTTCTTCCTCTAGTCTTTCATTTTTTTTTTTTTTTTTTTTTTTTTTTTTTTTATAGAGGCATGTTTTTATTTATTTTATTATTTATTTGTTTGTTTGTTTTTGTTTACACATGCACTGGGTACAGTCAGAAGCACGGGAGGGTGAGAGAATTCACCAGAGCCAGAGCGGGGAGCAGAGCAGGCAGAAGGACCGAAGTACACTGCTGAGGGGAGCAGCGGGCGGCAGGAGAGGTCTGCTCGCCATGTGGGACCCTCCTCCGGTGGCCGGGGAGCAGCCGGGGATCGAACCGGCGCCGCAGAGGCCGCGGGCAGCTTCGCAACCCAGCGCTCAACCGCTGCGCCACCGGGGAGGCCCTAGTCTTTCATTTTTATTGTTCACCTTTTAATTACTTAGTATCTCTTCTTTCTCATTCAGTTCCTCTCTTTTTAACTCACTAAAATAAAAACCTAAAAATATATGGTTTAAAATGTTTATTATTTGTTATTTTCATGATCATTATGACTGTAAAACAGGTTGGTTTGGATAAGTCATCAAGCAGCTGGCAAGAGGATGGTCAGGCTAGTGACAAGTGAAACACGGGGTAATCAGCACTTGGGCAGAAACTCTGGGAACAAGCTATGGACTCAGTGGTTGGATGGGGTGAGGGTGCAAACAGTTGTGGCATCAGAACCTTGGACAGCTCAGTTGGTGCTCTAGCTCTTGCTACCAATGTGTTCATCTGACACTCCTGCTTCCTTTTGGTTGAGGCAATTCTCCAGAAGAGTAAAAGTTTCTCCCGTTGTGGAGACTTTGGTCTGTTCAGAATCCTTCAGTATGTGGATCAGATAATAGAACTTCAACCTTTGACTGAACTGAGATAATTGCTCTCAAAATTACTGGACCAATTTTAACTCTAGTTTCTGGGGTTTTGTCACTTACCAGTAATCCTGCTAGTACCTGCTAGTACTTGGCTATTATGTGGATATACCATTTTTTTTTTTTTGCCAATAGGATGGCTATTTGTTTTGCTATACATCTTTCTGATAGTGAACTTCATCATCTCTTCTTTTTTTTTTTTTTTTTTTTTTTTTTTTTTTTTTTTATAGAGGCATGCTTTATTTATTTGTTTGCTGGTTTCTTTGTTTGTTTTGTTTATACATGCACTGGGTATACAGTCAGAAGCGCGGGAGGGCGAGAGAATTCACCAGAGCCAGAGCGGGGAGCAGAGCAGGCAGAAGGACCGAAGTACACTGCTGAGGGGAGCAGCGGGCGGCAGGAGAGGTCTGCGCGCCATGTGGGACCCTCCTCCGGTGGCCGGGGAGCAGCCGGGGATCGAACCGGCGCCGCAGAGGCCGCGCGCAGCTTCGCAACCCAGCGCTCAACCGCTGCGCCACCGGGGAGGCCCCATCATCTCTTCTTGTATCTGTTACACTTTGCTTTTCTTCATTTCCTTGTATATATGTCACCCATTCAGGTGTCAACTGTTCATACCTTTCCTGGATTTCTTTCTCTGTACTACTCTTTCTGTCTTTAACTTGCTGATTTACAGGAGATCTCTGTCTTCTAAGTATTAATCCATTGCCAGTTATAAAAGTTCAAATGCTGTTTCCCAGCCTGCCTCCTTTCTTATAGCTTTGTCTGAAACCTTCATTGAATAACACACCCTTAATTTTAATGTAGTCATATCTATTACTTTTTTCCTTTAAAGATTGTGCTTTCTGAGGTCTTATTTTGGAAATCCTTCTCTATCCTAAAGTTATTAGTTTTCATTTTCTTCTGTTCTGTTTTTCACATATAGGTCTTTAGTCCATTTGGAGAAAATAAAGAGTTCTGCTTTTGATTTTCCTAATGTAGTAGTAGTATTCTTCATTTAGTGTGCCTAGTTTCCTGATATTATCTACTATAATGTTTGACTTTCCCACTACACATGCTGCCACCTTTACTGTATTGGCAATTAATTCTTATATGAAATGAATTTGTTTGTAGGTTCTCAATTCTGTTCCACTGGTATTTTTGTTAACTCTAGGATGACCCTATATTGCTTTAGTTACTACTGCTTTGTAATATATTTTATCATCTCATACAACAAGTCCTCTTCTCTGCCTTTTATTTTTTTCAAAATTATCTTATGTCTCATGGATCTTTATATCCTTACGTAAATTTCTTAATAACTTTGCCAAATTCCACCCCCCCAGATCTTTCTGGGATTTTAATAGGAATTGCATTAAAAATAAGAAAATATTTTTTAAAAAATAACAAAATATTTTTAATGGAGATTTACGTATTTTAGGTTGGGTGTTTCCATCCATAAAAGTATCACATGCTTTTTTTTTGCCATTAATAGTTTCAGTAATCATGATCTGATTAAATTAATTGTTTTAGTATATTTTATCCTTTGCCTACTTCTAAAACAGTATGAAAGATAAATTTAAAATCTAAAATCAAAAGGCTAATAAAGATACATGGGGGAAAAAACAAACAAACAAAAAGATACATGGGGGAAATATGTCCTACTCATTTTAATAAATAATAGAACTGTAACTTTTAACAGTAAAATTATTTATACAGGCCAAGATATTTAGAAAATGTACGATTGTATAAAAATACTAAATACTGTATCCATGGTTTATAACAAGAAAACAAACATTACTATATCTCAGAGCTTGCTGTGTACTCTCTTCAGCCTTACTCTTTTTGCTTTCTCTTGGCACTTATTTGTGAAATTGTTACCATTCATGTACCATTCATTTTTTTCTTCTTTTTTTTTGTGGTACCTTTTTGATGAGCAAAAGGTGTTCGTTTTAGTGTATAATTTGTCACTCCTGTTTATTTGTGCCTTGAACCATTTTATGGTTTAAGAAAGCCTCACATATTCTTAGGCCATAAAAATATTTTCTGTTTTGTTTTTGAAAAACAATTTTTTTAAAAGATATATCCTAAGAATGCTTCAATACTTTAAACAGATGTGATTTTTACTTAATGCTTTTTACTTTATGCCCCACTAGTCTTTAATCCAACTGAATTTGTTTTTTATATCTGGTGGGAGGTGAAATATCCTATGCTCAGTGTAATTTTTCCGTTTGATTCCATTTGATTGGGTGATAGTGAATTGTCCCAGACCATTTGTTCAGTGCTCTTTTCCCTGTTGATCTACAGCATCTTATGTGACAGACTGTTGTTTTTTTTTTTTTTTAAAAAAAACTCTATTCTGTCAGGTTATTCCATATTTAAAAAAAAAAAAGCTCTATATCTCACTATAACCTTATAATAAGTCTTGATATATGGTAAATTTTCCCACCCCTTTTTCTGTATAGAATCTTGGCTATACCTGATCTATTGATTGATTTGGGGAAAGGAGTTGATCTCTCTTTCTTTGCTATGAGCTGAGTTCCTTAACCTTTGAATATCTATACTCCAGCAACTTCATAGCCAGCATAATCAAACCTTGTTTGAACTGGAATTACTGAATACTTACTATTTAAATAGTGAACCTTCTGCTGGGTGACCCAGCAGAAAATGAACATATTCAACTAAAAAAAAAAAAAAATAAAAACAAAAAAAATTAGATCGTAATCAAGCTATGTATACATAATTTAAGATATATCCTAAGGATGCTTCAGTACTTTAAACAGATGTGATTTTCACTTAATGCTTAATAGCTATTTTAAACTTTCCATTCCAACAAGGTATTAATTATGCTTTTATTTTTTTATTTTTTATTATTTTTTAAAGATTTATTTATTTATTTATACAAGCACTGGGTACATTCAGAAGCGTGGGAGGGTGAGAGAATTCACTAGAGCCAGAGCGGGGAGCAGAGCAGGCAGAAGGACCGAAGTACACTGCTGAGGGGAGCAGCGGGCGGCAGGAGAGGTCTGCGCGCCATGTGGGACCCACCTCCGGTGGCCGGGAGCAGCCAGGGATCGAACCGGCGCTGCAGAGGCTGCGGGCAGCTTCGCAACCCAGCGCTCAACAGCTGCGCCACCGGGGAGGCCCTAAATATGCTTTTAATTGTTAAAATTGGAGAGGAGCATTTGACTTGAGCATGAGTAATGTTAGGTTTACCCCTTCAAAAATACACTTTCTCATTAAGTTTAAAAAGTCAGGCACAAAGCCATAATGCACAAGAAAATAATTACTTTTCTCTGCTGGCATTTATACACATATTCCATGTTCAACAATTCTTGTTTTTCTAATTATTTGCAAGATTTAGCTAAATATTTTGAGTTACCTATAGCTAATATTTTCCTAAATGTTAATTATAAAACTCCATTTCTTTAGATGAAAGATGTTGACAAACAATATATAAAACCAATTACAATGTGTGAAAGTAGTACACAGACGGATACACACATATTGCCACCAACGATTGTAAGATCATATGAGTGGAATGAATGGGAATTGAGAAGAAAAGCTATAAAACTGGTTTGTAACAATATTTTCTATAATTATAAGTTGGGGAATGTTAAGGCTGTTTTTCTTTTTCTTTTTTTTTTTTTTAAAGATTTATTTTTATTTATTTATACAAGCACTGGGTACAGTCAGAAGCGCGGGAGGGTGAGAGAATTCAGCCAGAGCGGGGAGCAGAGCAGGCAGAAGGACCGAAGTACACTGCTGAGGGGAGCAGCGGGCGGCAGGAGAGGTCTGCGCGCCATGCGGGACCCTCCTCTGGTGGCCGGGGAGCAGCCAGGGATCGAACCGGCGCTGCAGAGGCTGCGGGCAGCTTCGCAACCCAGCGCTCAGCAGCTGCGCCACGGGGGAGGCCCAAGGCTGTTTTTCATAGAGCTGAATTATTTATGAGTTGTGCATGGAGTTTTTTGCTAATATAAAAATAATTAGCATAGTTTATAATTGCCAGCTTTACATTATAAGATTATCTTCTAATTTTAAGCATATATAGAACACAGAACCATGAAACTAATCTTAAATTATGTCATGTAATAACTATAACAATGATAGTGTCTCTTCTTTGATCTGTATATATATTTTTAAAGATTTATTTATTTATGCATACAAGAACTGGGGTACAGGCCAGAGGTGTGGGGGGTGAGAGGATTCACCAGAAACAGAGCAGGGAACAGAAAGGGCAGACTGACTAAAATACACTGCTGAGGGGAGCAGTGGGCGAGACAGGAGAGGTCTGCTTTGCCATGTGGATATCTCCCTGGCCGGCAGATTGAACTTGTACTGCAGAGGCTGTGGACAGCTTCACAGCTTAACCCTTCCCACCACCAAGGGGGCCCTGATCTATATATTTTTAATATTTTGTATCTATAGTAGTTTTAGCTTACTGTATTAATCTATAAGATACTAATATTTAAAGTACTCTCAACTTCCTGTAATCACTTAAAGTATATATACCCTTTTCTTTCAGGTGTTTTTTATTTTTTTGAGGAGTAGAATGTTACCTCTGTTATATCACAAATACTGTTCCCTCTTGGGCCTCCCCGGTGGCGCAGCGGGTTGAGCGCAGTGCTGTGAAGCTGTCCTCAGCCCTCTTTATCACCAACATGTTCTCTCTAGACACTAGGCAGTTGCATCCTTCTGATTCTCATTCACATTAATCACAGTAGTACTTACCCTTAAATCCTCTTTGAAATTCTCATCCTTGACTGCCTCAGTGGAATTCTCCCTATTCACCATTTTTTTATAGTATCTTGTTATTTTGAATAGCAGAATATTTATAGTATAAGGGAAATGACCTCATCTATCTATCTATCTATCTATCTATCTATCTATCTATCTATCTATCTATCTATCTATCTATCTATCTTTGTAGCCTTTTCTTAGTACATTTTACCCATCTCTTTAACTGAAATCACTGAAGCCTCTCCAAATGAGAATAAAGACTCTTTGTTCAAAGCTTGCTCTGCCAAGGGAGTAGGCCACAATCACTTGGATTTGGCAGAGATTCAGAGACAGGCAGAGGAGCGGGAAAGTCTTGTAGTGAATAAGGGGAAGGATTCAGATATTCTCTAATTAGAGGTTGTTGACATGGGGCACTGGAAACTGGCTAACTGGTTGATAGATTTCTCTAGTTGGCCCTGAATTGGAATTGGGGCGGGGGTGGATGGGTAGAGGAGCAGGGAAATGTGGGACGATAGACCATGGGGCAGCCAGAAGGTGAGGAAGCTTATCAAATCCTGACTGTCCTGGGCTGGTTGCTACAGAGGCTGTGGGTCAGAGTCCTGTTGTCATATTTGTCTAGCCTTTGTCTCTTAGTCTCTCATGGTTGTCCCACTGTAGGAGGCAGGAATGACACTGAGTAGGTTTTCTGATCCAGCAGAAAAGGAGAAGTCAGAGTCCTAGAGCCCTCAGTGGCTTTTTGCAGGCCTTTTTATTGGGATTTACTCGGTACACAGCAGGTAAGGATTCTGGGGGGCCTGGAGGCTGGCAGTCCTCCCAGCCCCCAGCAAGTCTTCATTCTATCTTGGCTCTCCGGCCTTCTCTCAGTTTCTGCTTCTCTTGCTTCTCTCTCTGCTTTCGTTCGTTCTTGGCTTCTACTGGCGTCCCCGTGACGCTGCCCTTAAAAGCCCAGTCTCAGCCCAGGTGAATCCCATCTACCTATGCCACACCCTATTCCAGGTGCCCGCTATCAGGCATGCATTCAGGACCGCAAGGATCCATTATCTATCTTGATGACAGGAGGGCAGAAAAGCCTGACATTTTTCCTTACCTTACACCCACTAACCACATTATTTCCCTTGCTTCTACCCTGTCTGGTAGAAGCTCTTTGGTCTTAAAAAAAAAAAAAAAATAGGATGGCACTTGAGGGGATTATGTTAGGTGAAATAAATCAAAGGAGTAAAAGAAATGTTGCCAAAGCAAAACAAACTCAGATTCGGACACAAAATGGAAGTTATCAGAGGGGAAAGGTGTGGGGACAGATGGATCAGATAGAGGGGTTTGATTGGATGGTGGTGGATTTAGCATCTAGACCTTTGGTAGTGGGTGTGGTGTGGCATATATAGTCCAGCTCTGAAGCTATCCACCTGAAACTTTTACAGTGTTGTAAACCAGTGTTACCTCTATAAAAATAAACTTCTATATATTCTCTTTCTACTTAGGCCAATTTGCGTCAGAAAGTGACTCATTCGGTACAAACTGATCTTAGTCACATGAGAAGAGAAAATTATTCACAGGTGTACCCATTAAAGGATGTTGGTACTCAATCTATGAGAGAAGGCAGTACCCGAGTACCCAGACCCCAGATTTACTTAGCTGGTCTCCGTGGGGGACAGACTAAAACCACCTTCGGGGTCAAGGTGAACTTAACCAGAGCTGTTGATGAAACCTAGAGACCATATGTTAAAAATATGAACAATGGTAAATATTGAAAAAAAAATTTCCATCCATGAAAATAAGTTAATTTTGTGGGACTGGCACATTCATTGATTGTATGAATGTTCTTTCGATTCTCATTTACATTCACTGTCAATCTGCTATGAAACATTAAAAGTTGTTTTCTGTATTGCGTTTCATTTCATTAAAATTGTAAAGTAAGAGTCCATCATTTGTTTGTTAAAAAAGTTTGTTAGCAATAATCCTGAAATTATGATGCCATTTAGGTATTAATATAAGATTATTATGACTAGAAGTTTATTTATTTTAAAAATCATGTAACGTTAAACATTAAAATTTTAAAACTTAGTATGAACAACTCTTCATATATGTCATGGCCTTTAAATACCACTATTTTCTACTCTTGCTTTTTTCATTCTGTCACCTGGAATCTTATCAAATTCTGTTGGTCCTAAATTTGATCAGATTTTATCTTTTCAGTGAAAATTTCCGTATCACCTTTGAGAGAGTTAGTTGTTTCTTCCTTTGGGTTTTCACTGGAATTTACTCATACTCTTAATGCACTTAAAGTAAACAGATGTACATGCATTTGTCTATTCTCCCTGTTAGATTGTGATTTTCTTAGGATTTGAACTGTTTTAATCATTTTTTAAATTCTTGGCATTTATATAGTGTCTTGAATGAATGAAGGGCAAACTAAGCGGCAGAGTTTTTATTTTGGTAGTCAGGGTAGGAGTTGATAAGGAGTTCAGCAGCAAAATCATTGGAAAAGAGCCAGAGAAAGGGAGATTACTTTTGGGAAGTGGTAGGAAGTGAAGGTGGATAAATAAAGGTGGATAAGTTAGAGTTAGTAGCTTTTGCAAGGCGGCCATAAAAATATGTTGTTAAGACATTAGAAAATCACTGTAGATTCTTCTTGAACAGAAGATTGATTGTGGGAGAGGGGTTTGGGAGTCAGGGAATCCCTGACAATAATTAGGACATGTGGTCATGGATGGTGCGAAGGGGCAAATATGAAATTTAATGAAGGGGGGACATAATATTTTAGGAAAGGGAAGGAAAAAGCAAAGTATGTGTTTAACACTGAATTTAACATTGTCTTTTTGTATTTTTTCCTTAGTTATAAAATGCAACGTTCTTTTGGCTTGTCTGTAGTAATATCCATAGTGAATACTAGTTTTAAAATAATAACATAGCAATTTGGTTTTTGGGTTTTTTCTTAGCAGAATGAAAATAATATGCTTTAAACTGTCATGGAAACAACTATGTCTAGGTGTCTGAATTTGCCTTTTTTTATGTTTAATGCTTTAGTATAGTATACTTTGGACCTTATCACTTTTAATAATTTATTATAAAATAAACTCTTTTAATTTACCATATTTGAATTTGCAACCTCCTTTATTATTTTTGGTTTTTACCTCCAGCACAGAGGTGACAGTGGAAGATGAGAAAAAGGTAGGTCTTAAAGTTTTAAAAAGTAATTTCTGTTGCTTTAGCAGTTTTAGGGCCATCTACAACAGCTCTGAATCACTAAATCTGATTTCATTTGCCGCCGAACACCATGGTGAAGACTACATTTCCCAGAAGGCCGGTTGGGCTCCCTAGTCTCAGCTTCGCTCGCTAGGTGGGAGTTGCAGGTCACAGAATAACGCCTGGCAACAGAGTTTCACGCTCTTGCTAGCACGGGTTGGGCGGTGCGGGCCAGCCGTCCCTGCGGGTTCTTCCCATTTTAAGGCGTCGCGGGGATTCCTGAACCTACTCGAAGCGCGGAAGCCGGAGGGCGGGCGGGCGGCGGGTGGGCGCTCTAGGCCGCCAGCGCTCGTCTCTATGACCGCAGGCGGGCCCGGGTGTCCTGCGCGCGGCGCGCGGCGGGAGCGCGCGTCAGTTCCGCGCCGAGCTGTCCGGACGCGATGGCCGCCCCAAAAGGTGAGGCAGGGGCCTGCAAGGTCCCGGGAGCCCGCGGGGGCGGCGGCAGGCCGGCGGCAGCGCGTGTCCGCGCTTGTCCTCCCTCGGCGGCGGCCGAGCGCCTCGGCGTCCCGCGCCCCGGGGCCAGGCCGAGGCGGAGTTGGTGTGGAGCCGCCGGCCGTCCCGACCCCGCCGCCGGGTCGCGCAACCCCCCCTCCCCGCCCCCGCCCCCCGCCCTGCCTCCCGCCGCGGACCCCGCGCGCGCCGGCCCCAGCCCCAGCCCCGACCGCGCCCGCCGGGAGGAGCCGGGGTGGGAGGGAACCCACTTCACGCAGGCCCAGGCTGCGGCGCGCCCCGAGCGGTGGCTCCCCGGGCTGGAGGCTGGACAGTGCTCGCTCCGGCGGGGTCGCGGCTGCGGGGTCGCGGCGGCCGGGGTCCCCTGCGCCTCCCGCGCCGCGGATGCCCGGAGGCGGAAGGGCCCCTCCAGGGGCAGAGCCGAAGCCGCGGCCGGGCGGTAGAAGCGCCACTCAAAACATCACTGGGGCGTGAAAACTGCTCAGAAACCCTAAGGAGAGGGAGAAAGCAGTCGCCGGGAGTTCCTTCCGAGGACAGTGTTGTTTGTGGTTGGAAGGAACGCTGATATTTTGGGTGGAAGGTGCCGGCAGTTAAGTAATAATTGCCTTTGGTGACTAATTGCCGTTTCTTGAGGGTGAACCTGATCAACCCCGCAGCGCTTCTGTTGTGCTGAGTGGGCTGTGTGAGTTAGGACCGGACCTGAATTTCTGGATAATAGAGCAGTACCTTGGAAAGGTTGGTTGGGACACACCCATATTCTTTTTCCACCCTGCCACGACTCCCTGCCCTCATAGAGCACTTTGACTTCTCTGAATAAATATTGAACAGATGTTTACAGGATATCGTTTTGCATGGGTGCCAAAGTATTTTCCTGGTTGAAGATTCCACGTGTATCATTCAAGTCCTGCTCAGGGGCATTGTCTTTAGTTGCATATGCTTTTCTTATGTAGTCTCCCATGTCATGTAAGTCCCACTCGAAGAGTCTTTGTGTTGCACCACAGGAATTGAAGTCAACATAGAATTGTTTTGAAAATTAACATAGAATGGGGATAGCAAGATTAATGTTGAACGAAACAAATACTAGTGAAGTCAAATCATTATCTGAAATAGTTGCAACAAATTACAGATTTAGGCTTATTGCCAAACATGTTTTATGTGCTTGGGCATGTTGTGACCATTAGAAATGCATAATCCTAACAATTGCAGTTTGCGATAGCGTCCTGCTATTCACAAAGGATTTATCGGAAACTTCCTTAAACTCTCAGTGCTCAAGTATTATAAGTAATGTCCATCCCCTCTAAAATATAGTAAAATACAACTGGGGAAAAAAATTAACTTCTCGAGCTTAAAGTTTTTTTTTTTTTTTTTTTTTTTTGAGGCAGTTCACACACAGAAACAAATGATGCAAGAGCTAATGGGAACTTAAAAGTAGAAAGACAATGTAGATGTGCCACTGTGCCAACTCACCAACACAGTTGAGCTACACTTATCGTTATTAGTATTGGACATGACTGTAATACTCAACAAAATTTACAGTGAATACATAGCATGGACTTTTGCTTTAGCCTCAAAGAACCGAAGTTACTGATTGAAATTTCATAGTGAAAAATTTATGGAGTGCAGAAATATTTTCATCTAATGTTAAGCTGAAAAAAGAGAAAACAGTGCTTAAAAGCATTATGTATTATTTGAGTTTGAAATGGTATTCCATACTAACCCCTTATGTTTTACAAATATCTAAATGTATTCAATTTCTCTTCTGTGTAGGCTCAGTTCTTCTCACAAATACAGTATATATTCCCTTATAATCACTTTGCAGCTTTCAAAGTTGATGACAATAATAACTATAGGTCAGAATGAATGTAGGCTTTAAATAAATGGCTTAAACAGTCACTGTTGTTTTTGGAATCAGGAACCTATTTAATTGCTAAAACAAAGTAGTTTTTAGTTTGGCGGCCGAAACCTCTAGTTTATGAAAGTGCTGATAATCTAGGATATAGTTTGGCAAAGTTTTTCTGTAAAGAGAGCTGGGTGTGCTGTGTCATAACTACTGAAGCTGTGCTATTGCAGGGCGAAAGAGTAACCATAGACAATTTGGAAACTAATATGGCTCTGTTCCCATAAAACTTAATTTATGGACACTAAAATTTGAATTTCATATTATGTTCACGTATCATAAAAAGTTACTTAAGAAACTTTCCCCCACCATTTAAAAATGTAAAATGGGCCTCCCCGGTGGCGCAGCGGTTGAGCGCTGGGTTGTGAAGCTGCCCGCAGCCTCTGCAGCGCCGGTTCAATCCCCGGCTGCTCCCCGGCCACCAGAGGAGGGTCCCACATGGCGCGCAGACCTCTCCTGCCGCCCGCTGCTCCCCTCAGCAGTGTGCTTTGGTCCTTCTGCCTGCTCTGCTCCCCACTCTGGCTCTGGTGAATTCTCTCACCCTCCCGTGCTTCTGACTGTACCCAGTGCTTGTATAAATAAATAAATAAATCTTAAAAAAAAAAAAAAAAAAAAAAAAAAAAAAATAAAAATGTAAAATGATTTCAAGCTGGCTATATAGAAATAAGCAGTGAGCTGTAGTTTGTTCACCCCTGATCTAGAAGCTGGGAGGTGTTTTTTCCTATAATGAGTAAAAATTATTGCTGTTTATTTTTGAAGTCATACATTTTTTTCAGTGTAAGAAGGATTGAGAACAAAGGAAGTAGTGTAGTGATTGCCTCCACTTCCTTTTACATTACCAATGCTTTTTAGCTCACAAGTCTTGTAGAAACACAGTTTAGGCAAATACAGGCTCTATTTCTTCCTGGGTGTAGTGTTTTTTCTGTATGACTTGTTAAGACCTGATGTGATTTTTAAAATTTGCCTACAATTTACATATGATTCTTTTATTTACCCGGAGAAAAGTATTTTATTGAGGATCCGATTTCCTTGTAAGTTCACACCTTAACATAACCGAGCATAATTGTTTTAAACTCCAACTTATATCCCTTTGGAAGTTGTCTTTGAGTTGTAGTTAAGCTCCCAAAGCAGTAAGCAGAAGCATAGTAGCCATGACTAGTTACAGTAGCAGCCCAAAGTTACCCTGTGTCCCTCTGATTTTTAATCTTGGTTTGTAAAAGGTTGATGTATTTGGTCAAATTCAGCCTATTACTTGTCTTTGATGGCCTGTGAGCTAAGAATGTTTTTTACAGATGAACATTTGCAGTTGATTTGATGGAACACTAACTTTGATGAGTGAAGTGAATTGTTACCTCCCAAAAGAATACCATTCTTTTTGATAGACCTATATTATAAAGCATTGTAGTCAGTTATTGTATTTTTAATTTGTAAAAAAAAGTAGTGAGAATTTTTTCCTATTATTTAAGTACCTACATTATATTCTTGATCTTGCCTTGTGGTTTGTAAAGCCTAAAATATTTACTATTGGCCCTTTACAGAAATAATTTGCTATTGATCTCTGTTTAACTTGAGCCTGCAGATTTGAACAAAGGTGACAGAGAGCTAGGGAATGACCTGTGGGAGTTGGATAAAGAAAGTAGAAATGGTTTGCGTCTTGATGATGACAGTATCAGAGCAGGGCCTTGAGTAAGGAGCTATGAGGGAGACTTGTATCCCAGTGCTTGTGGTTTTATTGAAGGTATTGAATGGGCCATGGTATCTGAGTAATGACTACTGCTCAGATATACTTGCAAGCAGTTCTTAAATTGAGTGTTGTAATTTCAAATTTTCTAGAACTGATTTTAATACTTTGTTTTGAAATTATTTTTATATATAATGCTATGAAATGAGAGACTAGATGATTTTTTATTATGATAAAGTTCTATAGTAAGTTCCTTTTTTAAAAAAGATTTATTTATGCATACAAGAACTGGGGTACAGGTTAGAGTTGTGGGGGGTGAGAGGATTCACCAGAGACAGAGTGGGGAACAGAACAGGCAGATTGACTGAAATACAATGCTGAGGGGAGCAGTGGGCAGGGCGAGGCAGGAGAGGTCTGCTGTGCCATGTGGGTAGCTACCTGGTGGGAGATCAAACTTGTGCTGCAGTGACTGTGGATAGCTTCATAGGTTGCCTTTCATAGGTTGCGTCTTAACCCCTTGCGCCCCCAGGGAGGCCTTTTTTCCATTAGAATGTACATCATATTTATATTATTAGTTATACAACCAGTTAAAAAAGAACTTTATAATATTGCACTTCTCAAACTCTATTACATAGATTTCTCTGTCCTCTCTTAATGCAGTCTTAATTTTATACATAATTACATCAATTATCATAATAAGCTGAAACTTAGTAAGGGATAAGCTAGTGAAAAATACACATTTTGGGGGTAGCATTGGTTCACAATACCATATATAATTTAGAGGTATAGAATCACATCTTTCAGGGGTATATTACCACACCCACTCCCAGTGTACCCATAGTCCTCTCCAGTCCATTTTACCTTCTCCCCTCTTTGTCCTTTACCCTCCCTTCCCCTTCAGGTAAGTAAGCTTACTTTTATCATTCAACTACTTTTGTTTTCCTTCTGTTGTCTTTAAATTTAGAACATAGTTATTTCAAACTTTTTTTTATGCTTTGTTGTCACAAGTGTGAATGATTAAGTATGTAATTTATAACTTCCCAAACTTGAGTTATTATGCTACATAGTCTTGTACTTGAGACATTTTCCAGGAACCAAACTATGCCTAATTGTTGGATATTAGTCAGCTGTGCTTTGTGTATGTATGATTGTGTTCATGCAACTGGAAATTATTGTTTTCAAATAAGTTTTAAATGTCATGGGTTTCAAAAAGTATGTTGTGCTTGAAATTGGAAAACATTTTGATACACTAATGTAGTCTGACTTTTATTAACTAAATATCTTTGTTGCATATATTTTCCAGAAAATGTCAGTTTATTATTCAAGTTATACTGCTTGACAGTGATGACGTTGGTGGCTGCAGTTTATACCATTGCTTTGAGATACACAAGGACAGCAGACAAAGAACTCTACTTTTCAACCACAGCCGTGTGTATCACTGAAGTTATAAAGTTGTTGCTAAGTGTGGGAATTTTAGCTAAGTGAGTATAAATACTTTTTAGTGTGGTAAATTATTATTTTTCCACTTAGTTGAGGTAATTTTTTAATTAGAAAATTGAAGCTGCATCTTTATATTTTTGATTGCTTTAGAGCAGTGTTTCTCAACAGGGGACAATTTTCTTCTCCACCAGGTATTTGGGGGATGCTACTGTTATCTAGTGGGTGGAGGCCAATGATGCTGCTAAACAATGCTCACAACACCCTCCCCAACAAATAATTACTCAGCTGCAAATATCAGTAGTGCTGAGGTTGAAGAACCCAGCTCTAAAGCAGGGACTGTAAACTAAGGCCCATAGTTCAGATCAGCCAGTTTGTTGCCTGATTTTGCTGCAACAGAGACTGTATGACAAAGACTGAAGTATTTTACTATTTGACCCTTACAGAAAAATTTGCTGACACCTGTTTGAGAGAAGAATAATTATAATAATAGTTAACATTTCTTGAGTGTTTCCTGTGTTAAGTGCAAGGCATGGTGGAAAGGCTTTTTATGAATTACCTCCATTTAACTGTTATACTTTTTTTGGTAAGTACTATAATTAGGAACAAGGGCTTTGGAGTGAGACAGACCTAATTTTAATACTAGACTTACTGAATTATGACTTTGCACATACTTCTTAATCTCTGTAAGCTTCCATTTCTTCATTTTTTGATTGGAGAAAGTAACATAGGGCTATGAGGATGAATAAAGTCTTGTAGGTACATTAATTGGGGAAAGAAGAGTAGGGATGATCTGTGATCTTGAGGATAGGTGAGAATTCATACAGGTTTCAAGATTTGGGTCTCTAAGAATAGGAAAGCAGTGAGGAATAATAGGTAAACATAGATTACATTTAACCACTTTTAAATTTCAATCTGTAAACATATATTTAGTGATAACCCTGTGAGTTTTACAGTATGTTGGATATACAGGTATGAATGAATGAAGTAGATATAGATATGGTTTCTGCTTGCTTGGAACTTAAGTTTAGTGGACGAGACAAAATATAGCAATAAATGCACACATGATTAATTAAAAGAAACAACTAGAAATAGTTTAGAATGGCAATAAAGAACAGAAAATTAACTTGAGGCTACATGGTAGAAAGCTTTAATATATTAGAGTTTAAAATTTGTATTATAGGTAGAGATATTGTGTCAGCTTAATTTGTTTGGTTGCAAGTAGGGTAAAATCTCTTACCTTTTAGTTTCTTACTTAACAAGAATCATTTTTAATGGAAATTTTGCTTCCATTAGGAGATTCTTCATTCTGAATAATGCCAGATAAAAGGATTTATAGTATCTTGAAAAGACAGTGTTGCAAAGGCAAAAAATCCCTGTTTAAAACACCAGAACAACTTTCACGTGGCAACATAAGAGTTAATAAATTGATTACATTTTAAGGCTTAGCTTTTTTTAAGACAAATACAAAAGGGTAGTGGATGTAGAGGGATGGGAACACATTTTCTTATCCTTGTTCCCCATCTTCCATAGGGAAATGACTTTTGGCTCAGGAGTAAAATAGGATTGTCATGTATGAAATCAACTATTTTAAATTGTAATATCAAATTATGGTTCAATTGTTATTAGTAATAATTTTTAAAAACCAGTATGCAAAGGAAACAGTGAGGCCTTTGATGCAACTCAGAAGTTGGACTAGTGTTCTGTTAACCCACCTGCATAGATTATGTGTTTCATTTTAATGATTTTACAGTTTTGCGTTTGTTTGGTATTTAGTAGTATTCTTCATCTCTTTGATGTTATAGATCAATAGTTTGTTTTGTGGAAACAGTTTTTGGAAATTATATCAAAACCCAAAAATTTCTAAAAATTTATCAGTCAAGTCAAATAATGGTGTTGAAATGACACTGTGGAAAACCAAATACTATAATTCATCACATCATCACCATCAATAATTTGTTGTGTATATCGCCAGCATTATGTAGAGATTCACAAAAGAAGCTCTTTTGTGAACATTTACCTGCAGAGTATATAATGACCATGGACAATCAGGAAAAAATAAAGAGTTATGACACACATTGCTTTGGTAGTTGGCATTCGACATTATATGACTAACTTGATCTTGACTGTGAAGAAGAATCCTTTAAGTAACGCTGGAAAAAGGCACTGGGAAAAAAGGTATAAAAAAAGAAAATAGTGAAATGTATTTGAAACTTGGATTTTAAAATTAATATAATTCTACGAGAATATATTGGTAAATTATCATGTGTTTATTCAAAAACACATTGGAAGAAATTTTTTTTGACGCATTATTTTATTTAAATACTAATCTGATAACATGTGGTTCAAAAACAGTAATAAACCAAATATAATGAGACATTAAAGACGGGGCTTCAATCTTAGGCAGTGATGCCTGCTTGCCCAGGATTTCACTGACATAAAGCCACATCCACACCTTATTGACCACCATACCATTCAGCAGAGCTCACTTAACAGTGAGCTGTTTGAAGCTACTAGTTTAGCACTATAGACCTTTTTTCAAGCTCTGTACAGCTGTAGGGATCCTAGGAAAGGTTAGAGGAACCGGCTCAGCTTTGGCATAATGCCAAAATTTGGCCAGCTGAGGCTTCTGGTAAGTCACAGCAGCTGTGGGGGGGGGGGGGGGAGGTGGGGAGGCTATTCTTAACAAGAAAATACCGGTTGGAGCAAAGGGTTTACTTTGAAGAGGGCATCTGTGAAATTGTAAATTTCTTGAAATGGTCAAATAAGGAAAGATTAAAGAGTTATTTCAATGTATGTGGTCACAGATTGATTAATTACAAACTGAAATGAGAGGGCATTGCCTAAGCACAGTTTGGGAAAGATACCCAGTGAAAATGTTGAAAGTTGGTTCTTGATCTTGAAAGGAAGTCTGGCTAAAAAGCCATAGTTCTGTCCTCAATGGAGCTAAATTCTTAGCGGCGAACCAGATATCAAGCAAATAATAAATTGGAGTTGTTAAGTAGAGGATGCTGTAAATAAGTATGGTTTATACAGTGTCACATTTTTCACATTTTTGTGGGTTTTGGTGGTGATGGCACCACTGTTTAAGAAGGCACCAGACTTATTACTATCTAGTGTTCCTTAGTGTAGAAGGCTACGATGTACTTTTGAAAAAATTATATGTTTGGTAAGCTTTGTTCAGGCATGGGTTACAGTCCTGTTGACTGTGTGTTCAATGCTCATGTATTTAAAGATGTCTATAAATAGAAACATACCCCCCAAATAGGGTTATATATTGATCCCTTGAAAATGTTGCTACCATATGCTCACAGGAACCTAACCCTTATTTCCCCTAGAAGCAACAATTCAATATTCACTAATTCAGTGTCTATGATGATGTTATAGAATATAATTACTGCAGATTATAAGAACCAAGTGTATATCCAATACATCACCAAGTCCTTTAGGTTCTACTTCCAGATCATTACTTAGAGAATTCTAAGATCAGGGCTGTGAAACAAGGAAATTCCCAGGATTTGAGGTGGTAAGGAGGTTCTCTGCCTAGGGAATTTTTAATGTTCATGAACAGAACTCAAGGCACCAATCTAGATGACTGAGGCTTCTTTCTCTGGTTCTTTCTCTTCCCTTTCCCCTTCCCCAAGTAAGAGTAACAGTTTTGTCCCATGAGGATTGGGTATTTTAACAATGACATTATTAGTGTGGCAGGCTGGAGGGTATGATAACTTGCTAAAACACTGGATGGAAGACAATTGCTTAATTTTAATCCCTAAAGTCTTCCTTGCCCTACTTCTATTTTAAAAAGAACAAATTAAAAAACTAAATTCAGTTAACTTGAAATTGATATGTTTAGGATTTTTAACTTAGAAGAAGCAAAGTTGCTTCCTTGAAGAGTGCCTGATACTATTGATGCAAAGAAGATAATGGATTCATTTACATTTTTTCAAAAGATAGTAAAATCACATCTTCCAGGTTGTGATAAAAGAACAGAAGGCAGAGCAATGTATATTTTGGTTGACCTTCAAGAAAACTGGGCAGTAAATATGAGGATTATGCTTAAATGCATTGTTGCTTTAATATATAAAGTTATAAGCTAAAGTTGCCTTTGAAAAACCAAATACTTTGGGGGACTATTATGAAAAATCAGTTTGAAAACCTAAAGAGCAGATATATAGGGTTTTTTTTTAAAGATTTATTTATTTATACAAGCACTGGGTACAGTCAGAAGCGCGGGAGGGTGAGAGAATTCACCAGAGTCAGAGCAGGGAACAGAACAGACAGACTGATGAAATACACTGCTGAGGGGAGCAGCGGGCGGCAGGAGAGGTCTGCGTGCCATGTGGGACCCTCTCCGGCAGCCGGGGATCGGCAGCTGGGGATCAAATCGCGCTGCAGAGGCTGTGGGCAGCTTCGCAGCCCAGCGCTCAACCGCTGCGACACCAGGGGAGGCCCCTATAGCTTATTTTCTTTAGAAAGCAAGTGAATATAGAATACCAAGTTAATCTGTCAGAATGTATTATGTAAAGTGCCAAACAGCTTCCTCTAAGATTGCTGCAACTAAATTTGCTACCATCAGACATTCAAGATTGTTGCTATTGAGAGTGGCAAACTGCCAGAGTAATGTTAAGGAAACATTCTTTCCCCTTGAAACAGGTGAGGGAAACAGGTAAATACATCTAATTTTCATTTTATTTTTATACCTCTATTTTATCTGTACCTATTATTTCATCTTCTATGATGAGAAGTCTTAAGCTGAGTGCCGTTTTAACTTGCCAAAGGTACCTAGAAAATTATTGGCAGTGGTAGGATTAGAAGACAAGTTCTCTGATCCTAATTTTCAAATTATCAGTCTTGTAGAACAATGAAATCATTGAGCAGTTTTTTGATTAACTAGATAAGCACTTAGCATTAGTTCAGTTATTTTCAATAACTTTATTTTGCCTTTTTCTTAAGTTTTTATTTCTAAAATATTAGCATTTTACCATGTGTTTTATCACATTCTTTCAATGTATGTATGTTTTGTGTGCATGTTACCTATAAACAA